AGCGGTAGTGTTTCCACTGCCTCATTTCATTGATTTCAATGGGAATCCAACTTGGTGGCATTAAAAATAAAGGTTTTGCTACAAGGTGGCATGGGAAGGAATAAAACAATGAATCAGTCAGCCAATGAAGAAACTTTGATAAACTTCTCTAACAAACATCTGACAGACCCGAGTGGCACGGAAGGATATCATATATGGATGTACAAGACATACATTTGGCAATAAAAGTTGTAAGGCAACATTTTTGTTTCCATGGTATGTTTCCAGTTACATACGTACATTTCTTTCTGTGGGTGTCAGGTGGCATGAAGCACAGAACACCAACGCACCATAAAACCAGTCAAAGAAGGAATGCTTAAACAGAGTAAGATAACAAAATGAAGGCAACAAACTAATCCATAACACAAGAAGTTGCAACTTAGGCTAGAGGCACTGACTAAATAACTACATATCATTCGTGAATGTTATATTTACCTAAGTATAGTACATTCCTGTACTGAACAGACACAAAATCACCTGAACAGCAAAAGGAGATCTACAACAAAGAATTTCTGCTTTACAGGTTCAAACCAGAAAGGCAGCAAAATACTCTGGCAGGAATGATAAGGAATTTTCAGAGGCAGTAGTTTTTACCACTACAACACATGGCTGAGCTTCAGAAGAGGGAGATGAGATTGTGAGCTTACTTAGCCTGCAATAAAAAGCACACCTTATCGTTCTGTGTCCTGAAGGTACAGGGCAACTTTTCCAACCCAGTGTCAACCTTGATGTGTTTTTTTTATTTTTATTGACCAGTCTTAAATGGCTTCAATCCACCTCTTGGCTCATTTCCCTAAACCGCTGGCTCCAGCAGCAACATTTAATATGGTGGATATATGGTCAAAAATGAAACTTTTCATACTAGCTACATAAAGGTATGCTTTATTTGGCCTGACTGAAACAGATTTATATCTGCTTATTCCTTAAGTCTGGTTTTCTGATCTGTTGTGTTTGGACAGTAAAGGGTGGGCAGAAGAGGCACACCTTTTACCAGCACCACTGACTACTACTACTTCCTGGTCTTTCTTTCTGTGTGTCTTATACAACACACACACGTGTTTCTGTGCATGTTCCTCTGTGCTGTATGTGACCATGACAACACCTTTCCCACAATGCTTCTTTTATCCAGACAAGAACCTCGTCTTGGAGACAAAGCAACACATACAACATGTTGTACATACAGGAAGGACTGTGTTCAAAGAACATGGCTGCCGATATTGAATAGTGTGTGAATGCCTCTGTGTGTAGTATATACAGTATATAATGGGGTGAAGGGGGAAACGCCACTTTACAAGCTGGTTTTCTGTCAGTCACTGATCTTCCCCCGCTGTTAAAGCCCACAGTGACTCAGCTAGGAACCAATATGACAAAATACCGCTCAGCAGGGGGGCGGATTGATGAGGAGGTTGCGCACTACATTCAAATAAGCTCTCCTGCAGACTGAACAGGCTGGATGATAATATCTCGCCTAAATCTTCAAAGCATCTCATTTCTAGTCTCTGAAAAGATGATCTCTTCCACATCTCTAGTGACATGCTCCTACTGCAAGGAAACCATAGGAAGTGGAAACGTGATGACTACCATTGAGCCCAATTTTACCTAAAAAAGGTGAAACTGTATCATACAGTCATTTTCCAGTTTTACAATGAATAATATCCGCATTCATGGAAAATACTGAAAACCTGCATCACCTACATAGTCCTGATGGTCAGTCTCAACAGGCTATGTACCCTATATAGTGTACATCTTAATAATGAAAATCTATTTAAGAAAAAAAGCATTTCAAATGTTCACAAGAAGTCTTCTTTCCTCTTATATTTAAGTGCCAGAGGGAAATGTATGCATGAGTGCACTGAGTGGCCTAAAAACGGCATCAGAGGTTGTGCGATGTGACCTCTCCTGATGATATGCAAACAGATGTTGCTGGTTGGACAGTATCCATCTGGCTAGAGGAGAAGGAAGGAGAGAGGAGAAGAGGAGAAAAGGAGAGATAAACAGTTCATACCTGCATTAAGTCAAATTAGCCTAAACGTTGATATTGGCAGTGTTTGTTAATTTGCACAAAGTTAAATGTCTGGGTTCTTTTCAAAGATTTGATTTTTTGATTCTGAGTGCCTGCTCCTCTATCTAATGATAACCTCTCAGAATGATTTCAATACAAGCAGAGATCCCTCCTGCTTCTATTCTGGTTTCAATACTCAATTCACAAACCAAAACAAGAGGAAACAATATCTGTCACTATGAGTGACAGGACTGCCTTCAAAGGCACAACTCAAAATGAAAGATATAGCCAACAATTCCTCATTTTTATCCCCGTGCTCATGAATAGAGGACTCTTTGTTGAAATCCATGGGTGGTACTAATGATTTATCAGGGAGTGAAAAGAATAAGAGCAGCGATGCTCTGGATGAGATGGAGGCTTCTCAAATCAGTCATTTATGCTAATGCTGCCAGCAGATCATGTTCCTAATTAGGTCCAAATGAACAATTAGCTGATTGGGTTGAAGCTGCAAAAGGAGCTGTCAATCAGATGATAAGAGAGCAGCAGAGAAGAGAGAAGGGAGGAGAGCTGAGAAGAAATACCAGAAAATGGAATGAGATGAAAATACCTGACAGTCCAACAAGACTGAGTCACACAAGGGATTTTGGGGAAATGCACAAATGAGAAAGTACCTAGGAAGGTGTGGGTTTGCATGTGCACACATGGGTGTGTTTACATTTTTGTGAGTGAGTGCATGCATTAGCGTGTCTGTGCACAAGTACACAGTCTGCCCATTATGCAATTGGAGTAAGTGCAACTGGACCATTACAGTCCATTTAGGTTTCAAACAGTGAGACACCACTTGGCACTTCATTTAGCCACACAAGCGTGTAACAGCACCCGGCTCACACTCCCAAAGCACCGCCAGAAAAAGAAGAAAAACACCCTCTTCCTGAGAGTTTCAAAGTGCTCTCTGACTGACAGTGCTGCTGAGAATGTGGTCTGTGTGTAGGGAGACTCAAAGATGGGAATTCTCCATTAGCAGTAAGTGACAGAGCGAGGAAACATATGCCAGGACACGTGGTGAAAATACACTGATTGCATTTCAAAGCCAGCCCTCACACATGCTGTCATTCTGACAAGTTTGACTGCAAATTGATCACACCTAGCACATGACTATAACATGCATTAATAAACAAACATGAAAGCCTTCCCAGCATGCTGCTTCTGCTTCATTTCCACCCTCTTAACATATACAGTAGCTCGGTCCAGTATCTTAATCCGGCATACACAAAGTGCATTCCTAATTCCCTGTCAATCAATGGCATATTGACTGGTGGATTTTTCGCTTGCTTCTAAATGAGTATGACAAAAGCTGTGAAAGACAAAAAAACAACCTATTAATATTAATTGCCTTTTTCCTGCATTTTACAAACGCAACAAAAACATGTATTGATGTAATTTTGCATGTGAATATAAGCTTAGCAAAGGCTTTATTGTACGTGCACATTTACTTAATATTACCTTCATGTGACAATTTTTATATCCAGCCTTATAGCTGCTCTTTTTACATACAACATCTTATTGTTTGCTGTCAGTCAGGATGTAGTTTTCTGACTTAATTTCACAAAGGTTTAACACATTTTAAACATATGTCTTTGAATAATATGAGACAAAGATTAATCCTCAATATCTTGTACTAATACTGTCACATACAGTCTACATACATTATACTTTCAAATATTTTGCAACTGCACGCATTAGAAAAGTATGTGCCGTAATCATTTTCAAGCAAGACAAACTGAAGGCATGGTCCATATGGAATTCATGCCTCAGGCAATGGAGAAACACATGCTAACATGTACAGGAAACATGTCTACATTACATTTTAGTAACCACTCAGATGTATAATACATAATTCAGAGGTTATCACAATTTTCCTTTCATATTTATCTCTTGCTTAGTCCAGTTACAGTAAACCTGTTTGGCTCTAGCTTTTAGCTGCTAAATGCTCCACTATGTTTACCATCTAGTTGCTAACTTGGTCTGCTGTTTGGTGATCGTCTGGCAGCATACAATGAAACTTCAGCTTCTGCTTTTTCACTGAGAACAGCAGCCTATTGTGGCTGAAACTGCTGCTATAAGGGCAGCGAGAGTGAACCAAAACAGCACAGTTGAGGATCAGCAAACCGACCACGTAAAGTAGCTACAAAGCTCTACAGAGCTATGGGGAAATGAAAAAAATAGTAGTAGTTATACCATATGATCCATTCTCAGTGATAAAATATTGACTATGGCTGCTTTAAAGGAAGGCCTAAACCCGGAACTTTCTTTAAAATTGCAAAAATTCAGATTAAACCGATTTTCTTCAGCGTGAATGAAGATTTAGAAACATCTGCAAAGGCTATATGTTACCCACAACAACATCAATACTCAAATTATCAATGTGTCACAGTTTAAGGCGGGCTATTGAAAGCAAAGTTATTTGTGGTGCAAGGAGAAGGCAGTCCAGCGTACCAAGTTTTGGCTTCTTAGATAAAAAGCCGGCCAAAAATTGCTTGAGCCAATGAGAGGATTATCCTTCTGCTCTGAGCTGTGTGTTACCTCTTCTGAAATCCCCTCGAAATGAACAACAGCAACGTGGAAAAAAAGCGGGTCAGAAAATAGATGGCATTGTTTTCTTACGAGTTTGTCAGAGGAAACAAGGCTAAACTTTCAGGGTTTGAGGGAGTTTTCCTCCTCAAAATCAGGCAAAAACTTTCTTTATCCTTTAACTGCTAGCTGGCTTTCTGTAACACCTGAAAAACAGCTACGAAGGGCAGCAGGAACGGAGAAATACAAGGACTAAAATGGAAATTTTTTCCCCCAAAGTTGCATGCATATACACACACACAAACACACACACACACACACACACAAACTCTCTCCCTTTCTCTCCCTTGACAGTCTCCCCCTCTGTGAGTCTAATGAAGGCAGAGTGTGTAGGCGAGTATTCGCGCCATGCCTGGTTGCACACAGCCAACCCTCCTGAGCAACAAGCGTACACAAGCACATGTACATAGACACACATACCAGCACACACTATGGCGCATGGCATGGGCGAGTGCTGAAACACAATACAAGCAGATTACACACAAGGGCAGAGACTAACGCACACACACACACTTCAGAGACTAAGCCCTGTGTACTTGACTTCAGGTCGGCCCATCTGTCAGTCTCTCTCTCTCCACCTTTCACTGTCCTTCTCTCACATGCAAATGTACACTTTTCCATCTGATTCACTCACACTGTGGGATCATTATCTTTGGCATACTGCAGACACGGAGTCATGATGGGGTTATTATCGAGACAGGGACCGGCACACTCAGCATGTCACTTCTCATTAAAGGACTACAACCCCCGTCTCTCAGTGTGTGTTCAATGAATAAGTGGTCATTGACTTACCCTCCTTTGATGTAGTCCAGGAAGGTGACTTCAATGTCCACCAGGAATGACAGCAGCGTGACCTGTAATTGATAAGGCCACAATCAGCTGTGTGTTAATAACGACTTTCAAGTGTTGCCTCTGATGGGACAAATGCAGTTTCTGCTTCTTTCTGACACAATAAATACAGAAACTGGATCAATTACAAAATGAAACGCCAGCAGTATGGAACAGGTACCCATCTGGATCTACTGTAGTATGGTATTGCATTTAAAATCTAGCCTACGCAACTCAATGTATCAAGGGAAATAATGATGCATCAGATTTGATAAATATTCCCTCACCGTTCCAGAGTTGAGGTATTTTTTCTTCTTTCCTTTCTTCTTTGGATTTACCACCTAAAAAAGACAATATTCTCTCGTTATTTTGACATTTCATAAATTCTTTCATTTGAATTGGCACCACTTCAACTTTATAAGCACTGGGTTAAAATATGAAACAGCATTAGCACTCATTTTGAACCTTGCTCTGTGGCGAGGAGCACAGAGCAAGAGAGAAGAAGCAGCTCTCAGCAATGTCAACTAGAATTGTTTGACAATGTATTGGTTAAAATATTTAACATGTTAAAGAATATTT